TGCAAACCCCCGATGGAGTGAAAACAGAATACATGCTGACTAAATTGCTTCATTGCTTCATTATCATGGAGGTGAATCGGGAAAGACATTTTGAGAAAAGTGAAGTTATTTAAATGGAAACCAGGATTGTCAGGCGTACAAATTGTAAAAGCTTAGGGATTTCAAACAAAGGCCTGAAATGCTTCAGGTTATGTAATAGGCCTACAAAAGTGAAGAAACAAAGGCCAGATGTGAACGTCTCCCCCTCTTTGATAGTGACTAATGCGTTAATGAGGTGGCAGAAGAGCTGGGTGCATTGGAAAAAGGCTAACCTCATAGTATTTGCAGACAAAATACCATGAATAAAGATAAATACACGATGATTTGAATAAACATTCAAGACAAGACAAGTCAATATATTTTATTTTCATAATCAATTTTTACACCTTTAAGAAAGTGCATAGTTTTGGCATTAGTCTTAAGAATTGAAGTTTTTCGGTTTTCATTTGCATTATTTCATTATTAATTCATTCAGCGTTTACATACTGTATAGTAGAGTGGTGTGTGATTTCATTTCATTTCATTTATTTGTTTATTTTACAGGGACAGTGCTCATTAATTAACAGTAAAATAACTGTAAATGAGCCAGAGTTAGCTCAACAGGCTAATTTTCATCTGTTGTCCCTGGCCAGTTATTATGACGGCATTGGCAACCTAAAAACACAATATAAAGCAAGAAATGACTTTTACAGTCCACAAATAATAACAACATTAAAAAGTAATAAAAAGACAAATACGACACACAACACTAAGTAACGAATCAACATCAGCACACAATGTAGGCTAAAAAAATGAAAAATAACCAAGTTTGACACAATGAAATATGATAATGATGATGAAAATACTTGTCATTCAAACAAACCTCCCTTATTAGAAAACTAGAGAAAAACAATTTCTTCACCTAATTTAACCCTCGATTCTGAGCTCCGTGAGGTCATACGTGGCGACTCCTTGATGCTGAGGCTAAATGTGAAAACATACCTTTTATTGCCCCTGGCTAGCATATCGTCTATAACCATTTCCAAGTCTCACCGGGCTGAAAGAAACTAAATGGTTTTTATGTTCTCTTTAAAAAGAACTTCCTCAAAGTAAAGAAAAAAGTTTTTCTCCCTGACATGCAACTGGTAAGGTGTGTTTTATTGTTCCAGTTTAAAACATTGGCTCTAAAACAGGAACTAGTTGTATGGTGAGATCATTTGATTTCAATTTGTGGGGTGGAATATGGAAATACTGCAATTAATATAGAGAGGCAAAACCATTCAGCTTCGCTTAATCAAAGATGTGTCGAACAGCAATAAAAACGGTCTCATTGGCATGCTCTGCGTGGCATAATCCAAACTTATCTATTCATTAGGTAAAAAATAAATCTGCTGAGCTCAGCACTAATATATTTTTCTCTGTTTCATTTCGGTTCTCTTAGACTTCAGGATTAATCAAATAATGAGAGGGAACAACAACTATAAAACAGAGGTCCAAGTTCTACATCCAATGGAAAATATCAATTCCTTCCAGGCTTTTTGGTCCAACTCTGTTGGAAAAAAAAGAAAAGACAAAAAAAAAAAAAGACAAAAGGAGAGGGCAAGGGCAAGGGAAAGTGAGTGTACTGCTCCACATCCATTACCTACCTGAACACATCAAGCCTGTCCAAGAAACCAGGTTCAATGATACGGTGCGTCAGTCCACCTCGGATGACTCCGACATCTGTTTTTTGCTTATGATTGTTTGTTTGTTTACATTATGAGCATGCCATGAACCTTACGTTCGAGGAATTCGGTATCATTTTGCAATTGTACATGGCATGTGTTTGCACACAACAAAAACATGTAACATAATATCCCCTTACCACTTTTTAAAATTTTAATCATGCTTTTTTTTAATATACTATATTATATATTACATGCTGTGTGTGTAATATAGCTGCTTGTGAATGTAAAAGGTCTACAAAGTTTTAAAGATCAAAGTGCCTGACAAATAAAGTTATTGTCTCCTAAAAGAAATAATCAATTCTGAACTACTGAAATGAGTGGTCAGCAATTCTAGTCTCAATTCCTGTTACATAACTACAAAACAACGTAACGCGCTTGCATAATGCCAGCCAATGGTCTTCATTAGATATGTTTCCATCCAAAGTTGCGAATTTACCTTATGCACAAAATTGGAATATCGCATAAAACATTCGCGAATAAAGCCAGTTGAAGTAACAAAATCGCCACTTCCTGATAAACCGGTGATTTATATCACAAAAAAATGGAAGTTAATTAGCCACTATATACTCTCACCTAAAGATTATTAGGAACACCATACTAATACTGTGTTTGACCCCCTTTCGTCTTCAGAACTGCCTTAATTCTACGTGGCATTGATTCAATAAGGTGCTGAAAGCATTCTTTAGAAATGTTGGCCCATATTGCTAGGAAAACATCTTGCAGTTGATGGAGATTTGTGGGATGCACATCCAGGGCACAAAGCTCCCGTTCCACCACATCCCAAAGATGCTCTATTGACATGGTGCATTATCCTGCTGGAAGTAGCCATCAGAGGATATGGTGGCCATAAAGGGATGGACATGGTCAGAAACAATGCTCAGGTAGGCCGTAGCATTTAAACAATGCCCAATTGGCACTAAAGGGCCAAAAGTGTGCCAAGAAAACATCCCCCACACCATTACACCACCACCACCACCAGCCTACACAGTGGTAACAAGGCATGATGGATCCATGGTCTCATTCTGTTCCATGGTAACTTGTTAAAAACAGTTTGGGGAGGAAATTACACCAAACCATTTTGACGACAGATTTTGCTTAGGCATTTCAGAATGAACAAAAACAGTGAGATCGAGCCACTGTTTGGACCAGTTATGCCGTCCCATCGCAAAGTCACATGTCTTTTTAGAGTTCATTGAGGAATCTATTCGGTAAATGTGTTTCCATCTGAGTTCATGCACATGTTTTCTTATCGGATACATTCATCCGACTCAACTGAGGGCTTAAGTTTTTTATGTCCATTTTTAAAATGTACAGTATGCGCCGCTTGGCTTTTCCATCCAGCCCACGAACAACGTCTACTTTGACCTGCCCTCAAACCGTTGTAGATGCGGTCAGGAAGAGTTTGGTTAATGTTGTCGCTGTTTTCAACTCTGTGAACCCACTTTGCATGCACTTCAAAAGGATGACATGAGGACTCGCACTGGAATTGATGCAATGAAACCAAAATTGTTCATATCACCGTGCACAAACCAGAGAAGAGTCATGGAAAGGAGGGGTTTTGAGAGACTGAATCTTAGAACGAACCATTTCCGACTCATTGAGACATGAGGTGCTGTGCAATGTATATTATGAGAAAACGAAAGTGTTTTTGACCCTGGATGCATGAAAACATGTTGTAGGTTTTAAACCTCCAAAATAAAAGCATAATAGGGGCACTTTATTTTGCTATAATATTTGCACCCATCACAGATAGGTGATAACTTATTATACTACAATTATAAGTAAAATGTTGTCTTTCAAAACTTGAATATCCTGACATAGCAACGATAACTAAACCAAATGGAGCTTGCGGGTGGAATTACATTAGTCCCTAAAAAAGATAATAATTAGCATTTAAAATGTTATGTAATTATTTTTGCTAATCTGTTTGGTGACATTGACATATAGCTTCAGCATTAACGTAAATCTCACCAAGCTACAGTAGAGCTGGTAAACAGTTATTATCTAGAATTAGTCATATTTCATTATCAGATTATGTCCAAAATCCATTTATCCAAATATTTACCTTTCCTTTGTTATGATAATAACAATGTACTACGTAAAGTCTAATAAAACACTTCAGATAAGGCCATTATAACACAATCTGTTCATCAAGAAAGAAAGAAAGTAAGTAAGAGTTCGGGTGTTATATTGCAATTTTCTATAGGCCTACTATGCATTAGTGACTTTCCTATCACCAGTCTAACTATAATTTGCACTGATTCTTGTCATCTCCATAATCTCTCTTACCAAGAATCAAAGAATGTTGTAATTATGGCTATTAGGAAAGACTCTTTGATGTAATCGTTTGATGTGATATTACTGTCTGCTCTCATTAGTCAGGCTTGTCAAGTTCATTCTCTGTTACGCTCACCTTAATGTTCGTCTCATAGTGTTGTAAGTCCACTTACAGTTACTCTCTGTCTAACATCAGGTCTGGTTAATTAAATACAGCCTTTTATTTCTCTCAGACGGCAATTTGTTTTGCAGCTGGCTTAACAAATTAAATCAAGTGCTAAGCATTTAAAAAGCACAATATTCAGATATTTATCACATCAGCTAAAACTGAAATTACTATCACATGTGTGTACGCGTGGGGGAGAGAGAGGGAGAGAGAGAGAGCTTTGGGGGGCAGCATTTGAAGGCTCTTTTTTTGCAGCTGCATAGGTAAAATCCTCTTCAGAACAGAGTAAAGGGCTCTGAGGAAGACAACAGTTTAATCTTGACATGTTTTTGCCCACGGGTGTTTAGGTCTGTTGAAGAACGCTGTCCTTTTAACCTCTTGCATTCTGCTCTATATTACTACATGTTTAGCATGAATTTGTAATTCAATGTAATATACTTGAACAATCTGACTGTCCTGGACAAGTGTAATGACTAATGACAACAACAAAAAAATCAATCTGTTTCTGAACTTTTCAGACCAGATTGATATCAGTGCACGCAATGCTGTGTAATGCTGACCTCTAGTGTTAGAATATGGTACAGGATTCTAATTAGGCATGAATATTATGTGCCAACAGACTCTTTATACAGTGCATCATTAATTTCATTCTATCCTCAATTCCCTAATAGTCATTCAAAAGACATGTCCATCTACTCCACTGTTAAACATGTTGCTGGCAATTATTCTAAACATTGTTAACATATAAAATGGCAAAGTGTAAACTAAAATAAAAGTGGCATCTTAAAATGCATAAGTGTTATACTACTCACATGCTGCAAACTTTGTGTTCTGAAACCGCAATATGTCGATTTGGATCTGCTGGTAAAATAAGAGACTGGGGTTAGTTGTCAAACTCCTGCTCCAATAAATATTTCTCTGTGTAGCCTACATATAGGTTTATTTACTTCATTTTTTTTTTTATTTGTGCCGATCAATATGGCACTTGGACTTGGACAGAATCTTGCAAAAGCATTCCGTTTTATAAAAGCCATTGAAGAAATACCAAATATAAATGTACAGCACAAGGGAGTTTGGTCATGTGATCTCAATATGTCTGCCCCATGAGGAAACCCATTCCATGTAAAATAAAAAGGTTTATACTACAAAAATATGACTGGTCTTGTCATGACATGAGTGAACATGATTGTAAACACTTTGCAAAGCACTGCTCATATAAAAAATTTCTCAATAAAGCAAAATTTATGAATGCACATTTTGACGTCTTCTTGGCAAGAGGCTTCAATCATTGATCTTTTTTGGGGCACTGTTTGGCACATGACACAACTAAATTGTCACAAACAGCACATTTTTATTAAATAATATAAAATAACTTACATTTTTAACATAAAACAGCCAATTAGTTTGTTTCTTCTCCGTCAAAGAAATAGTTCTCAGCAAACTTTGAGCATCACCAAGCAACCACAGACTAAAATACGTTATGGAATCACGTAAATAAGTGGAACGGAGCAAAACTGATTTCCCTCACTGCGTTCTGTAATCACTCTGCTCTAGATTCGTTCCGGATTTTGCATTTCACGTTCCACGCAAAAAAAAAAAAAAGGCTACCAAATGTATGCTAATGAGGTTTTAATGTGTTTACTAATCTATTCTAAATATTAAATTTATTTTCTAACAATTGTGCTATTGTTTAATGTTTTCTGAGCATTAATATAGTGATTTGCAACACACATCCATTCATCACACGAAGAACACTAGAACTACGCAGTTCATGATGAGCGCTGGCGTCGTCTCATTTCTCTTGGGTAAAAAAAAAAATAACCAATCAGTACTCTCTCCACCCTGCGGCGCGTTTTCATTGGCTAACACCAACACACAGATGCGCATACACGTGAGTAAACTTACGTAAACCCGCAACGGACCAATCAGCGCTCTGAAATCCAACAGGAAGTTGTGTAGTTGCGTGGCTATTTCACTGTTACTCGTGTTTTGTCTAACCCAAGGGGAAAACAAATCTAACTGACTGATTATTTATACTTCGCAACGTTTCGTTTTCATTCCTGCAAATATGAAACATAATTCCAACGTCCCTGCATTTCTCACCAAGCTTTGGACCCTCGTCGAGGATTCGGATACAAATGAATTTATTTGCTGGAGCCAGGTAATTAAATGCTAAAGACCTAACGTTACATGTTAGCATTCTAGCTTAGCTTTCAGTGACACCGTTGTTTCTTATCCGGGTCCTGTGTGATGATCAGTTGTTTATAAAGATGGATGTGTGTCAGATCATAGATATAATAGAGTGCTGTCTGTGATTTAAATGTTTGGAATTGTTTTCATTTCATTTTTTTCACTTATTGATCAGTAAGGTGTTAAAATAAATTAAATGCAATTAAATCAATTCTATGTGTATTGATTTGATTCAATATATAGATATTTGTTATGTTATGCTAATCTAATTATTTTAATTTCTTTGTGAAGTCTGTTTTCTCTTGTTAACAAGGCTCTTGATTTCTCTTTATAGGAAGGAAACAGTTTCCTTGTACTAGATGAACAAAGGTTTGCAAAAGAGATTCTTCCAAAGTTTTTTAAGCACAACAACATGGCCAGTTTTGTCCGACAGCTCAACATGTGTAAGTGGTTTCTCCACAAAATCTCCTCATTGCTTGTCTGCAATCTGAAGTCAATGTTTGTTTTTTTTTGTCTCTTTTTAATTTTTCCTTACAAACAGATGGTTTCCGGAAAGTAATGCACATTGATGCAGGCATAGTGAAGCAAGAGCGGGATGGACCAGTTGAGTTCCAGCATCCTTACTTCAAACATGGTCAAGATGACCTGTTAGAGAACATAAAAAGAAAGGCAAGACATCTTCATGTTGAAAATTAAGAAATACAAAAATTAGGTTTTTTTTATGCATGGAAGAACTGTAAATAAGTTGCAAATTTGGCATGGTTTGATTTTAAATTATTTTGCTGTTTAAAAAAAAAAATCTGAATTTAAGATTAAGTTAATTTTTCGTATTATTGATATAGGTGTCCAATGCACGGCCCGAAGACAGCAAAATAAGACAAGACGATCTTTCTAAAATTCTGACAAGTGTTCAGAATGTCCATGAGCAGCAAGAATCCATGGATGCTAGACTTGCCACCCTGAAAAGGTAAATTTATCTGTGTGCATTTACCCAGAAGTAAAGGGAACGGACTGATTATTCACTAGTAGTTGTGCTTATTAATGCCCTGCAACGATTAAAGTCATTCCCTTTTAAACAGAAATTTTGCAAACGAGTAGTCTAACCAAGTCTATGATTTTGTCTTTTCAAAATATATCAATTTCAACATGTGACATTAACCTTAATATCAGTGTTACCGCTACATTCATTCCGCTGTGGCGGGCCGCCACACATAAAATAATCCCGCCATGGCTGCAGCTTCTCCGTGAGGTCTGATATTCTGCATAGTATTGTGTTATTTTATTAAGCCCCACTAAAGGCATAAAAAACATTGTAAAGCACAATCAAGTTTTCGCACTATATTCCAAGACTTCTAAAGTCATTCAATAGCGTAATGTGAGGTAAAATGAATATTTAAGTCATTAAGTTAAAGTTAATGGAAAGTCATCTCTCCTCAGTCATTCTCCATTCAGCATTCAAACAGTGCGTCGCTTTCGGTTGCAACAGTAACACGTCGACACTCTTCAAGATCAATGTTTCCATTATTATACTTTATTTGTACTGTAGATAAAGCATAAAGATCTATGGTTTGCATAAAATTACTATCTTGCTGGAGTTTATTGCCCTTTCTAAATCATATTCCTTTCTCCCGGGTGTCTGTAAGATTACAGCACTGGAGTCGAGAGTGATATGATTTGTTCTTCATGCGCACTGTAATTGAAATTTAAAACTATTAAAAGAAAAGGCTCAAAAAAACTGTTGCATAGATAGAATACACTAATCATAGATGATGTGACTTCGCGTTGCTTCAAGTGCATCATTCTGCGGACGAGATGCGCACAATTGGTGGAGCCTTTTATATTATAATACTTAGGGGAGACAATAAAAAAATCCTACAGGAAACACTGAATATAGAAAAAAAGGTAAATGACTAGCATTTTTCTGTATCGTTTAATCTAGTCGTATCTAACTGTTTCGGCTAGTCTCACAGATCCCTAACAACCATTTAGAATATTTTAGCGACTACAACCACTTTTCTGTTCTCTTTTCCTCAGAGAGAATGAGGCTCTTTGGACGGAGCTGTCAGACCTCAGACAGAAACATGCACAGCAACAGCAGGTCATAAAGGAGGTACGTTCTACCTGTGCGCTTCAGTTTTGCAACCAGTGCAATAGGCCGTATTCACATGACGTCACCCAACTTCCGTTTTGACACGAATCGGTGTATTCTTACTTCCGTCAGCATAGTGGAATACTAGCACCACTCAAATGGAGAACACCCAGTATTTGTATATCTTCCACAAACACAGTTCGAGGATGACATCAGCTGCATACTATTGTCTACATTCACGGTGAGGCGTTCGGCAGATCCCAAAAGAACTTACCGATCGGCGAGATTTGCCGCTTGAAGTCGAGGGAGGAGTTGAAAATGGAGCGCTGAAGTCGTGCTCTTTTCTCACAGTGTTGTCTTTAACTGATGATTAGATGTATTTGTCGATTAACACGTTTTAGACGTTTACATGTAGCAACATAAAGGCTTTTCATTCAATATTTGATGTACTGCTTAATTCAGCACCTGTATGTACAAGAATAAAGGTCGACAGTTTTTTCATTTCAGTTTTATTTTGATAAGCATGACATAACATAAATACATATTGATATTTTTAATATTACAATAAATATATTTTTACGTGAGGGATTTTTAATGTTGAATATTTAACATGAAATGTGACATTCATTTATATTTAAATTCAAATGAGGGACGTAAGTAATTGTAGACGTCCATAGTTCTATGGCTTAAAAGTCCTCGCAATGTTTCAAAGCAAAGCTTAACTTTAGTCATCAGATGGAGAATATTGGGTTTCCTTTTAGACAACTTGCATTAATGGATGTTAAATTTGATGTGTAACATGAAAATACTTGTATGAATAAAATATGACTCTGTCCATGTCATTTTTCCCATAGTAAAAAACAAAAACATTACTCGTCGTTTGACTTTTTATTGCAGAACGAGAACGTCACATACACGGAAATATACAGAGGTTTTACACCGTATACTCACTGTTACGGCCATAGCAGCATCTAATGAAATGCACCAAATAAATGATCTAGGGAATAATATAAAATGAAAGCATAGAATGTGTGCAATCTTGCATTATTTATTACATCAGTTTAAAAGGGTATGAAAAATTATCTAAAATCTTAAAGGGATATTTCTGTCATTATTTTCTCACCCTCAAGTAGTTGAACGCAAAAGAAGATATTTTGAAGAATATGGGTTACCTCATTGACTATCAGCATGTAACAGTGTGAAACCAATGTACAGGCTTGAATTCTAATGCCACTTTTTGCATTGCTCCTTCCAGCTGGTGCAGTTCATCTTCACTTTGGCTCAGAACAATCGTTTGTTAAATTTGAAACGCAAAAGGTAAGACCAAAAATTATGTGCCTACATCTATCAAAAGTACACAACCACTGTACAAAAGTCTGGGGTTGGGTTTTTGTTTTGTTTTTTGAGAGAGAGAGAGAATTTAATACTTTTATTCAGCAAGGATGCAAGTATCCTGTTTGGTTTTTACCAACAAACAAAAAAAAAAAAAACACTAATGATAATAATAAGATATTAGCATATTACAATGATATCCATAGGGTCATGTGATACTGAACTAAACACTGGAGTAATAATACTAAAAAAAATCATCTTTTCCATCACAGGAATAAATTACATTTTAAAATGTATTCAAAGATTTTAAACTATAATGGTATTTTATAATTGCACTGTACTTTTGTTCAAATAAATGCAGCCATGATGAACGTTAGGGACTTCTTTCAAAAATATTCCTACAAACCCCAAACGTTTGAACAGTAGTTAAAAGTCATATTGTTGTCCCTTGCCTTTTTTTGACCAAGTATCTTTGCTATTAAAGATGAGAATTGTAAGAAAATTAATTAATTTCCAATTCCTTAAGGATTCTTTTAGTAATTTTGAGAGAGCAAGAATAGATTTTTTTTAATGTAATTTTAGTTTTGGACTTTATTTTTAATCAATTAAAAACATATGTTACCTTATTATTAATGTGCACCTTACTTGCTGTCTGATTACAGGCCGCTTGCACTGAACAGTAATGGAAAGAAGTCAAAATTCATCCACCAGTTCTTTGAGGAATCCATGGACCACAGCAAAGTATGTGTAGAAGCATCCATGAGCGATATGCTTCCGTTCACTTCTTGCTCGAAAGAAACGTGCTGTTGAAAATCAGTTATTTTGTTACCGTAATGTTGCTATTCATTATGTTGCGTTTTTCTCTCATGATGAGATTTAAGGCAGGGTTCACTTTGTGCGAAAGTGTCCCGCCCCTGGATATGAACCTTAAATTGTGAGAGTCGCCAGTTCGTCAGTTAAATTCACGTTGGTGGGGGATCGATTTATTTATATAAACATGATATTCCTCATTAATATTGAAACTTGGAAGATCTGTTTGTCAGAGACTTATCGCGAGCCTTCTCTGTTAGTCCGCAGTGAATGGACTACAGAACAATTCCGACATTTCTGAAGACGTCATCATCTGTGACATCACAGACGAAGATCCAGAAGTTACAGAAGGCCTATCTGTACCGGTTGAACAAGGGTGAGTATTTAGGAGTTGATTCAAACAGTTGAACCTCTAGTCTTTTGCAGGAGGGAAATTAGAAATGAGTGTTCTTCTCAATCTCCTACAGGGATGCTGAAATCGTGGACATCACGCATGAAAACAGCCCGACTGTAATAAACGACGACAGCACAAACGGCACTGTGACAAATTCAACCACTCAGCAAGAAGATGTACCCAAAAGCAGCCCTGACATTTCACAGACTGAAATTGCTCTGCAACTGAGCAAACCTTCAGGTCTAAGTTTAGAGGATCCAGTAAAGCTGATGGACTCCATTCTCAGTGAAAATGGTGCCATTTCGCAAAACATCAACCTTCTTGGCAAGTAAGTTGCGCGTATAAAATATAAAGGAAGCTAAGATTTAAAGTGCCCCATTATGCTTTTTTAAATGTTACCTTTCATGTAGTGTGATGGCTCTTAAAGGGTTAGTTCACCCAAAAATGAAAATTAAGTCATTAATTACTCACCCCCATACTGTTCCAACCCCGTAAGACCTTCGTTTATCTTTGGAACACAAATAAAGATATTTTTGATTGAATCTGAGAGCTAGATCAGTCCTACATAGACTGCCTAAGGGACTGGCTCTTGACGGCCCATAAAGTCATTAAAGAAAAGGTTTAAATATTCCATGTGCCTACAGCGGCTCAATTATAAGTTTATCAAGCGACGAGACTACTTTTTGTGCGAAAAAAACATAAATAACGACTTTATTCCACTATTCCATTACTTCCTTATGGGCGCATGCGCGAGAACTGAGACGAGGACGTTCTCATTCGTCTACTTCTTGTTACCGGCTGCTCACCGCTTAGGAGTTTTACCGCCACCTACCGTATAAAATGATGATCCATATATAAGGCGCTCCGGATTATAAGGAACACTGTCGTTTTTTGAGAAGATTAAAGGCTTTTAAGTGCACCTTATAGTGCGGGAAATACGCAAATTGAAAAGCGTATGTACAGCGCGCATCTTCCTCTGCTTGTAAACAGAACGTTTTGCACTTCCAGCTATATCAGCACATCATCTTATACGGTAGGGGGCGGTAAAACTCCTAAGCGGTGAGCAGCCGGTAACAAGTCGAAGGCTTGTCGGCATGCGCCCATAAGGAAGTAATGGAATAGTTGAATAAAGTCGTTATTTATGCTTTTTTCGCACAAAAAGTAGTCTCGTCGCTTGATAAACTTATAATTGAGCCGCTGTAGGCACATGGAATATTTAAACCTTTTCTTTAATGACTTTATGGGCCGTCAAGAGCCAGTCCCTTAGGCAGTCTATCTAGGACTGATCCAGCTCTCAGATTCAATCAAAAATATCTTTATTTGTGTTCCGAAGATGAACGAAGGTCTTACGGGGTTGGTACAGCATGGGGTGAGTAATTAATGACTTAATTTTCATTTTTGGGTGAACTAACCCTTTAATATTCATCATAATGAGCTTCTAATTAGCTATTTTTAACAAAAAATGTTTTCTTGCTGTACATTTTGAGTAAACAAATGTTATTCTAATAATTATAAAATTTAGTATCTGTAATTGTGAGTTTTTACCTTGCTTTTTTGTGATTTTTAACCTTTTCCTCATATTGACTTAATATATTAATCTTAATATCTAAATTTTTTTGTTGTTTTTTTGATAGGCAATATCAAGCATATTTAATTAATATTTAATATTGGATTATTTTTTGACTGCTTTAAGAGTTTAACATATTAAAACATTTAATATTTCATTGTAAATTAAATCACTACAGAGTAGAGTTGATGGACTATCTGGACAGTATTGACTGTAGTCTGGAAGACTTCCAGGCCATGCTGTGTGGAAAACAGTTCAGCATCGACGCAGATATCTTAGAGGTATGTTTGGAGATTCTGTTGAAAATGTACTTGTTGAAAATGTTTAATAATTTTCAGTGACGCATCATTCAGCTGCTATAATTTACCATTTCATGATGACCTGTTGAATTTGACCCTGTGTTGTCATATTTTTGATAAAGCTTTCTTTTTTTTTTACAGGAAAGTGGAACAAAAGAGAACATCATCAAAGCCAACAAAGGGAAGTCTGAGCCTGAAGACATAGGTAATTGTTGCATAATTCTCTGTAAATCAACATCCTCATTTGTGTGCCATCGCAGCATTTACTAGCATGTCGGTTTCTTTATTCAGATAAGCAGCTGATCCAGTACACGACCTGCCCTCTGCTGGCCTTCCTGGATGGATGCACCCCTCTGGCCCCATCAGACTCTACAATAGCAAACCAAAACCAGCCCCTAAGCCCTGAAGAACCCACAGACCTGTTGGACGACGCCCTGGAGACGAAGACGCCTCACAGCTCTCTGGTCCGTCTGGAGCCCCTCACGGAGGAGGAGGCGAGCGAGGCCACGCTGTTTTACCTGTGCGAACTGAACTCTGACCTGTCATGTGTCGACACGCCACAGCTTGATATCTGAAAGCGAATCAGCATAGAAAACAGGGACCAGACCTTTTTGTAAATAGTCATCAAAATGATATTTATTTGCCAGAATATTTGTTTTTGGTACCATCTGTCCAGCGTTTGACATTCCTTCATTTTACAGATTTATTTTTTACTGTTCACTACTAGATGGATGCAGATACTGTACACTTGATGGCGTCCTTTCCACACTCTACGTCAGGAGATCGGGCTGCAGCTATGTTGCTGGTTTACATTGCAGCTGTTTTTGTGAAGCACGTGTTTTTCCTGTGTTGTTATTGAGCAGTTCAAAAAATGTCATTGCTATCCTTTATGTATATGGCATAGAAGTGCCTGCCTGATATTCTAATGTCACTATTATTAGACTTGAAGACTTATGGTTAGTCCCATGTTGGGCAATATACAGTGATTTCTTGTTACCGTGAGCTTTTTCATTATTAGCTTTGCAGTAGCATTAAAGCAACTCAAAGGTCAATCCTGGAGCGTTTTGTTTTTCAAAATAAAAGTCCTATCATTTAGTCTACCGTTTTTAGTTAATGTGTGAATAGAACTTAACAAACCATGTTTATTTCCTCCATACAATACGCTTTGTTACTTTTGATAAGACATGATTTTAAAAAATACATATTATATATTCTGACGTTTTTGTCATGAAGTATTAAATTGTTTTGACGCTCTTGAATGGCGTAGCATCTCAGTTCCAGCGAATCAGCATCATCAAGCGCTCTTGAAATGATTTTTATAAGACTAAATAAACATGAATATCAGAAGGAACTTAGTTATGGAAAAAACTTACTGAAATGCCTTATCTCATATAATCATGGAAAGCCATAAACTACCTCAGGAAATACATTCATAGCTCCTTTGTTAGCAATTTTCAAAATCCACTCGGGACATAATTGGGTTTTAAACCTTTAATAAGACGAAATTGAATTATTACAATGCACGTCAAAAGGCAAACAAAAACACTGACATCCAACAAATAAAAGGGGTATGCAAGTACTGGCATCAATAAAATGACCATTATGCCTAATACAATGTATGATAAAGTCATCTATTAAAGCTTTATCAGCAAAGATAAATTCAGTTTAAAACATTGTTCAACACACACATTGGCTACAAGCATAAAATTAGTACTGCGCCAAACTACTAACATGTGCAAGTTGCAAAGGGTTAGCACTTTTACAGTCAATATTACAGTCATATGTTCATGGTGCAAATAATGGAGAAGCAAAAAGTATGACAAAATCCACAATAATGTTTTTCCAAATGCTAATTGAACACTGTATAGCCTACATTGTGCGTTCTATAGGAAACTGAATGTCATGACTTATGGGAAAACTACCTGCATTTTCACTACTCTCCACAAATAACTTAAGATACATTTGATTTATTTTTTAAACCATACAGAGATTATTTAACAAGATTGCATTATCCTTAGTATTGAAGAACACACATTCTTAAAGGAAATATTCACATCACATCACAGGCAACCCAAGCTGTGTTCTTCATTTTTTGTGTGTGTGTTTCTGTTTCTACATGAAACAAATAAACACCTACATAAAAGCATGCTAGATTAAAAAAAAAAAAAATACTCATGTAGGGTTAGCTGAATGAATAAAGCACTCGCAGTATTTACATTTAAACCCTCCTATCCCTATACATGTGGATATTCACAAAGGTAATGGCGGATTCTAATGGGATTCAAAGGTAATGGCGGATTTCCATCCTCTCAGTCGAAGTCACGGTTAGTGAGGACCAGCGGAGCCACCAGGGTCCACACGTACAGAGAGATGCAGATCCAGCTAGAGGTGATCTTCACCCACACAGAGGGCCACTTGCTGGTCATGGTCTCATAGGTGGAGTCAGGGCTGTAGAATTGACGGGAAAAATTCAGAGATAATTCTGCAAACTGTGCCAACCATAACCATTTCAATAAATAGTGACACACCAAAATGGCAGATAGCAATAACTGACCATTTTTGTTATGGCATTTCCCAATGGTTTTATTAAGATAAATTTATTTTAGTAAAAAAAAAAAAATGTAGTTAAAAATATACAAACACCACTGTTGAAACAGCTGGGACCAGAAACATTTCTTATTATTTTTATCAATTTAATCCAGGATTTTTTTAATGAATAGAAACTTTAAAAGAACCACATTTATTATTATAATTTATTTATTTATTTATTTATTTATTTTTTTTTCATTTTAAATGTCAAATTCGATCAATTCAAAGAGTTCTTGCTGAATAAAAGTAGTATTTTCTTAAAAAAAAATCTTAGGTTTTTTTTACGTATAGTGTATATTTGAGTATAATATAAATAAAATGAGATAGTTTTACAGTCATTATGAACATGGTAATAGTTAAAATATTAAAAATATAGTTTAATGATGGCAAAAAAATTAAGTACATTATGGTAAATAAACAATTACAGTTCATTATCCAAGGTTCTCACTATATATTTGGGGGAAAAAAAATGTTAATTACAGTAATGTCAGTCTTTTAACATTCTATATTATAATTCACTACCATTCACTACACCTATATTTTTATATACAGAATTTTACATGTTAAATTAGACAAAAACATAATATACAATAGGAATCCTGTCAGGAAAACAGCTTTTTTTTCTTTTTTTACTTCTAATATTGGCCTTATCAAACCCAGACAGTTATTTTACAGATAGCAAATTGTCACCAATATATTGTGAAATGAAAGTGCTGAAAAACCATTATCGCAGATGCACATACCTGTACCAGTTGGTCAGTGTCATCATGATGTACAAGGAAGCCAAGAAGAGCATGAAATGGAAGAAAGAATAGCTGTAGGTGACTCCATCCTTCTCGTTGTCAACGGCACGGTTGGAGCCATCGCTCACTTCAAAGTTCTCTGGAGCGGGACCATCCTCGATCAGAGCAGACTCGTCGCTGGTGAGGGTCAGTTTGTTCACCTGAGCATTGCTGGAGTTGCGGATACTGAGGAAATAAAAGGAAATTTGACTGCAGTGTTGAAAAATAGCGTCAAAAATGCAACATGTCTTCTAACAAATGTCAAGCTTTCATACCTGGAGTACAGCACACACATCAGGAACAAGATCAACCCCACAATGCCCTGGGCATCCCACCATTGAACAACACGGTCCTGACCAGCAGGGCTGGTGCTGTTGAGGCCAATAATGCCAAGCAAGCTTGGGTTGCATCTGCGTTCTTTGGGAAAAGAAAATCGTTCCAAATTTTATGAATGTACAGAATATCTTCTTTTAGACAAATCTTTCACAATGCTTACCAGGTTCATTGGTCATGGCAGACCAGGTCAGATACATGGTGTACAGGGTAACAATGGAGGACTGCAAGAGACCAGACCTGGGCTGGGACTCCTGGAGGAGAGGAAAGAAAGATTGAATTAATTAAATTCGATGCTCACCAGAAGCTTGTGTGCATTTTATGAATCACTAAGGACCACGGTTTCAGCTAAAAAATCTTATTTAGATTTCTACTAAAGAATATAAAGTCACCTAATTCTTGGATGGTAAATTAACAGCAAATTTTCATTTTGGGGTGAGCCCAAAAGTATAGGAGATGATCACAGTTCCAACACTAGTCATACAAACTCCCTCGGATGTGTTGTATTCATTACCTGGATTTTAGGCAAGATGGACAAGACTGATGAACCAACGCACAGCAGCATGTTGATGCTGATGAAGACTTTGTTCTCAGTGCAGCCATCAGAGTGAGTGTAATACACATAGAACAAGACCAGAGACATCAGGGACAGAGCGTAGTTGATGGCTGTGGCAGACAGAAGAGCTATGGACGGCAAAAAAATGTGTTAGAATGTAATCAATCTTCTTTATGATAGCATATACACCAGCATCGCAAGAAATATCTAAACAAAGGGGCAAAAAAAAAAAAAAGGGAAATTATTACTTGTATTCAGTAAGGATACATTAAATTGAGCTGAAGAGACAGTAAAAATGCCCTTTTGTGCTTTCTATTCATCATCAAAAAAAAAAAAAAATCACGATAAAAATGTATCACAAACATCAAGCAGCACAACTGTTTTCAACATTGTTTTTTTTGAGCAGCAAATCAGCGTATTAAAATGATTTCTGAAGGATCATGTGACACTGAAGACTGGATTTATTCAAATTTTTAAATATATTTAAATAGAAAACAGTTATTTTTAAATTGTAATGATTTTCCAAATTAAAAATGATAAATGCAGCCAAGGTGAGCATTCTTTCAAAAACATTGAAAAATCTCAACAACCCCAAACTTTTTTTGTCAAACTACACTGCCGCTTAACGGAAAAAGGGGGTGGCAAAACAAATCAAGTCCTCATAATACATACCTGCATACCAGCAGCGAGAGTTTCCTTCCTCCATTTTCTCCACCCAGGACTCGTTCCAAGAGTGAGCGAAGTCGATCAAGAGCACCAGCTGGATGAGGATAAAACAGAATGCTCCAGCCATACCTAGGTAAAACCAGACTGGAAGAAGCCAAGAAGATCATCATTAGATCCTCACAAATAAATTCAGGGAACAACTTGAGTCTGCCACTCGTAAGTGAGCTTTACGGTAAAGCCCACTGCAGATTATATAATGTATACAGGTATATTTATGTACAACTGTATCACACGTTTAGAATTTAGTGTTTGACTAGGTCACTACTGACAATGTTGAGTGGACGTACACTCACCTAAAGGATTATTAGGAACATCGTACTAATACTGTGTTTGACCCCCTTTCACCTTCAGAACTGCCTTAATTCAACAAGGTGCTGAAAGCATTCTTTAGAAATGTTGGCCCATATTGATAGGAAAGCATCTTGCAGTTGATGGAGATTTGTGGGATGCACATCCAGGGCACGAAGCTCCCGTTCCACCACATCCCAAAGATGCTCTATTGGGTTGAGATCTGGTGACTGTGGGGGCCATTTTAGTACAGTCAACTCATTGTCATGTTCAAGAAACCAATTTGAAATGATTCGAGCTTTGTGACATGGTGCATTCTCCTGCTGGAACTAGCCATCAGAGGATGGGAACGTGGTGGCCATAAAGGGATGGACATGGTCAGAAACAATACTCAGGTAGGCCATGGCATTTAAACAATGCCCAATTGGCACTAAGAGGCCTAAAGTGTGCCATGAAAACATCCCCCACACCATTACACCACCACTACCAGCCTGCACAGTGGTAACAAGGCATGATGGATCCACGTTCTCATTCTGTTTACGCCAAATTCTGACTCTACCATCTGAATGTCTCAACAGAAATTGATACTCATCAGACAAGGCAACATTTTTCCACTCTTCAACTGTCCAATTTTGGTGAGCTCTTGCAAACTGTAGCCTCTTTTTCCTATTTGTAGTGGAGATGAGCGGTACCCGGTGGGGTCTTCTGCTGTTGTAGCCTATCCGCCTCAAGGTTGTGCGTGTTGTGGCTTCACAAATGCTTTTCTGCATACCTCGGTTGTAATGAGTGGTTATTTCAGTCAAAGTTGCTCTTCTATCAGCTTGAATCAGTCGGCCCAATCTCCTCTGAACTCTAGCATCAACAAGGCATTTTCGGCCATGGGACTGCCCATACTGGATGTTTTTCCCTTTTTCTTTGTAAACCCTAGAAATGGTTGTGCGTGAAAATCCCAGTAACTGAGCAGATTGTGAAATACTCAGACCGGCCCGTCTGGCACCAACAACCATGCCACGCTCAAAATTGCTTAAATCGCCTTTCTTTCCCATTCTGACATTCAGTTTGGAGTTCAGGAGATTGTCTTGACCAGAACCACACCCCTAAATGCATTGAAGCAACTTCCATGTGATTGGTTGATTAGATAATTGCATTCATGAGAAATTGAACAGGTGTTCATAATTATCCTTTAGGTGAGTATATAAAGTCACATACATTGCATTTATGTAATCGCAAGTATATTTCATATTTAAGATAATAAAGTAAGACTTTACCAGTAGTAAAAGGGCCCTCAGGAATAAAGAAAGCTCCAACTGTAATAGCAGTGGCGGCAGCAAACTTGAAGAACCAAAACCTGCAGAAGATCAGAATATTTAGAAGAATTAATGAAGCTCAGATTAACATTTCTGAAATCAGTTTGCATGTTTTGAATACCCATCTTCTTCAAGAACACACTGATAGTTCTTGGTTTCTAACGTTCAACCTTTCAGTTACAGGTCAAGATTTTAACCACTAGGTCACACTAACCCGTTATGCACAGCGGCTCTTGGGTCCTGGCTGCTCTTGACCTTCACCATGATGAGAGAGAAGAGCAGGAAGAACATGGCCATTCCAAAGCACACACGATACACAGCCTTATACCCAACCAGCACATCGCAGTTCACGTGACCTTCGACCCCTGGGATAGATGTCCCCATTCCTCCTTCACAAAAGCCTGGAATCTACCGTGGCAAAAAAAAAAAAAAGAAAATACAAATGAATAGAATGCAACCCTAAACATCAAAAAAGGCATATGTACAACAAATTGAAAATTAAAGAAGCACTCAGTATCACCTTCTTCAGTTGCCCTTCCATGCCTGGCATGAGCATGATGCAAGCAATGCCCACACCCATCAGCATGAAGAAGGCATAGATCAGGCGAGTGACAGTGGAGTTGTTTCCACTTGGGCAGCATCCGCACAGCAGGCAAGGAGCACTGCCACAAAGACAAGGAATCTACACAGGAGACAAACACACATTAAAGGTGATGCAAGCCATTTTAGATGTTCTGCTAACTTCAAACACGCACTCCCAAACCAGATCAAGCAGCAAATTAATTTAGGCATTACAATAATATAATACATAAAGATGGGTAGATATTTCTTTTGACACATACAATTAAAAATATAATAAAGACAAAAGTCACAATAGCCGATAAGCAATACGATGTTGATAAATCATCCCTAGCAATAAACAGCGCCATTCTTTATTCAAAAGGAGCAGGGCTGGGTGACGCATAAACATGGTGAATTCAAAAGTGACTCATATCAGTGCTTAAAATGAAAGAGACTTGTACATTGGGTACCAAACTAAGCTTGTCTGGCTTTACATAAACACAGTGTTTAGATGTGATTAGTTACAGTTATAGTAACATTAAATCCTTCCTAAAATACTTCCATTAAGACTCGTTAATGTTTTTGTAAAGTCTCTAATGCTCATCAAGGCTGCATTTATTAAGTCAAAAAATACAATAACATAATCCAATGCTGTAAAATATTATTAGAATTTAAGATAAGTGCATTTATATATATATATTTCTAATATGCTGATTTGCTGCTCAGGAAACATTTATTATTATTTTCAATGTTAAAAATAGTTATGCTGCTTAATATTTTTTTGTAGAAAAAACGTAAAACACATTTTTTTCAGGATGGTTTGATGAATTGAAAGTTCAAGAGAAGCATTTATTTAAATATAGCCTTTTAAAAAAAACATTATCATAATATATAATAATACATTATAATATTAATATTATTATTTGTATTTTTTTTCTTATCTTAAATCAAATTTGACCCCAAACTTTTGAATTATAATTCATACAGATACCTACTCGTCTCATCAAGCTGTTATGAAATGTTACTGAATAGTAAATACTACTGCAACATAGCCTCATAATCTAATGTTTTCCTAGTGTGTGTGTGTGTGTGTGTGTGTGTGTGTTATGACACAAATGTGTATAATGGCATGGGTATTACAACGTAAACATCAGTGATGCGCGGGTCAATGTATAAACAACCCGCAACCGACCGACGTTTTCAACTACCCGCCCGCAACTCGGACCGCAAAAAAAAAACATTGTACCCGACCCGCTTCCTGACCGCATTTTTTTAAAGTAGTAAATGCTCATCGGAGCGTTATTGGGCCATATAGACGTGTAACAACACAGCATCGCAAGAAGACGTAGGCCTACACATAACAAAGGCAAAGCCAGCACTTTGGTCATCATCTTTCATTATTTCAGCAAATGTCTCCCACACTTTTACTCTTTCTATTTGTGTGTTTGCGGAGCTTCCACTCCCCAGTCTTCACCTTTTCTCTTGCCGCCTCCATCTCTCTGCAGACTGTAGTGATCATCGTAGACACGGCCGGTTCGTGAACGAATCGTTCTTTTGAACCGGTTCTTTTTAGTGAACCGGTCGAACCAGTACACTCGAACTGAATCGTTCTGGCGTCTTGCGTCAGTGCTGATCCACAAGTTACTAAAGTTACTCACTTTCAGACATGCCTGACAGTCGCCTCCGAATCGAAATAAATCAATATCCTGAATTATATTTTACTCCAGTAACTCCAACAGTTCACTGAACCGAGACATGTTGCTGCCACTGTTGAGAGAAGTGATCAGCACGAGCAGCTGATACTGCGTATACCGAACGCACAGGCACAGCGGTTCTCGAATCACTATAGAACCGAGAACTGTTTAGACTGAGCTCGTGTGTTATCTTCGTGCCAGTTATTCAGCCAATAATGTGTAGGGCTGTATATTTCATCAAAAACTGTGTCTAGTACTATATACAAATGTTTAATTGGCATCTTTTTTTCAAACGACCCGACCGACCGCGACCCGAATATCATTAAAAACATTTTTGGATGACCCGTAACTGCGGGTAACCGCGGGTGACCGCAGGCACCCGCTCATTTCGGATCAACCCGCGCATCACTGGTAAACATGGATCCTATGTTCTCATATTCTTAAATCAGATAGGCTTGCTTAAAAAAAACATATTAAATATTTGTTGTTTTTAATTTAAAAAAAAAATACAATACATTTTCTGTGATGGGTGGTTTGGGGTAAAGGGGCACAAAATTTTGCTTAGTATAAAAACAATTACACTTATAGAGAATCCCCGAAAACCACAATCGTGTAAGAGACCCTACAGAGAACATCATCTATATAGATCAGTGGTAAGAGCTGTGTGAGTCATAAGCTGCCATTTGATCGGTGTTTTGATGTCGCAACACCTGAAATCCTAACAAACATGTGAGCTTCTTCGAAAACCTCATGTTATGGTGGCAGATCATGAGTACTTGTATTTTAGTCCGATTTAAATCCCCAAATCACACGTGTTGGGGACATGTGTCAAAATCAAACATTGATATCAATCGAGCAGCTGTCATGATCACAAGAGCAAAGTACAAACAATTATTTGCCTCCAAATACGAGAATAATATAAATATAACGTTATACGTTCGGTGATCCAAAAATCACGTACAAAGCAAAAAATAACAACACAAAAACATTTTTCTGCTTCATCACAACAAGGGAACCACCCAATATGACGTTACATTTCGTGGAGCAGAAACAGCTGATTTAAATCACGCTCAAAACATATAAAAATAATTAATGTGATGTTATGTGTCATTATTGGTAATTGTTCTATACATGATGCAGTTGGTTTGATGAATTTAGGAATCGCGAAAGGCCCAGACACCATTTTCTCTTGTGTCTCTTTGCTGATGCGGATGTCAACAGCTCGCAACACGCTGAAACCCCGATAACGTAAGTTATTTTTCTTCGCACATCCATACGATTATATATAGATTCCAGCAGTAGCTATATGATTATGTAAACTCACCCAACTGGCCATGGAACAAAGCCCGAGTACGGCCCCCATGTTCAGCGGTGATGTGCGACGTTTCTCTGGACTGCTTTGAAAATGGACGCGGTGTGTTTACAATGTTGCTCCGCTGTCGGATGAAGCCGGAAACTACAGGTCAGTTTCACATTCAACGTTTCAAAATAAAACGTCGGTCTTTCACGCTGACAAAATAATAGGGGGAATTAATAGGGGGTTGCTGCCGTTTATATATTTAACAAGTAAATAATTCATGTAAAAATGTATTCGTAAGATGTAACATTTTAACATAACATGACTTAACATAACTTTTTTCAGCAATATCAGCAATAATCTGCCAAGTGCATCTTTAAAAAGTGACCAAACCAAACTTATGACAGTTCAAGTTAGAAATTTAACTTTCAGGTTCATGGTCAAAAAGTGATTAAATGGATTACAACTATTCCATAAATATAATTTAGTACTACAAAATCCCCTAAAAATACAAAAATAGTAAACAAAAAGAATTTGACTGACACGCAAACAGCACCAAGAGGTTAATAACTTAATAATGTAAAAGCAAGGTGACCAGAAATTGTGCAATACAGCCATGTACGCTTGATCAAAGGCTTTAAACATCTAGTTGAAAATATGAAAAATGAAATAGAAACCAAGAAAACCTGGAGTCAGTTCATGGAAACATGCAGCTGTATGGAAGTCAATCTGTTGCTAAGTCCAGGTAATTGGCACTGAGGCAAATGATTAAATGAAATGGAGGTCTAGAATATCTGTGTTCTGAGAAATGTGATCAGGGAAATGTTATTGGTCATGATGTGAATATCAGATTTGCAAGCACTATTATTAGAACAGCACATCATTTTAAATGGCAGTAAAATTCTAGATCATATTTCTCAACATTAAGTCAACATAATCTTATCTCTTTAGTAGCTCTTTGTAAGGATTGAACATATTTTCCTTTTTCATGCAGCCAATTTAAAAATGACTCAAATCGGCTTATTTGGGGGATGAAGCAGAAGTGATCATTTACATAAGAGCTGTAATTGGCCCAGAATGTCTTATGAAAGGGCTATTTCCCCATTCCAGGAAAAGTGACAAGTGGCAAATGCGGAATACTTCTGGAAGCTGATTTTTTCCCTTTTAAAGCATTCATTAAGCACAATGTTTTCATGCCTTCAATGCCTCCTTGTCGTTATTCCAATAAATGACACTAATTATATTAATGGATCTCAGGGAAGATTAAGGACATTCTAATCTAGCCACTGTATATGTCACCATCACATCAGAACCCAAAAGTGATGATAGGCCTTTAAACTGACCCAGCCCTTATGTATGTGGGGCCCATATGGATATGAAATGGGCTGAACAACTGGGCCCGGTTTATTATTGGCCACATAATGGCCACATACCAATTGACCACATGAATTTCATGCTAAATTGCACTTGCCATGTGGGCCCCAACTGGGTATTATATTATATTATATTATATTATATTATATTATATTATATTATATTATATTATATTATATTATATTATATTATATTATATTATATTATATTATATTATTGTCACAGTCTTCGTCTGCACCATCCTGTCTGCGTCTCCAGCACTACACTTCCCAGGATCCTCTTGTCTCCACACCTGAACTCACTCCCTCATCAGCCTCCCGTTCAGCGTCCTGTATTCATCTGTTTCACCTGTTTTCACCTCGTTTAGTTTGATTCCTGTGTGTATTTAGTTCCTTCCCATTCAGTCTGTCCTTGTCGGTCGATGTTAATGTCACCCTGTGTTTCGCCTGCCTGTTTCCTGTTAATGTGAGAATAAACCTTTTGTATTGGAGCTTTTCTGGACTCTGCCTATTCGTCCTTCTGCCTGAACCCGCACCCGTGACAGATCGACCGACCCCCAAAAAGGGATTAAAATGGATTTAGCCGCTGTCCAGCTTCTCCTCCTGGAGCAGGAGGATCAATCCCTCGAGGCCCACACACAGAGGTATTTGGATTTGGTACCTCATGTTCACTATGATGTTACCAGCCTCTGTGTGTTCTTCCGGGCAGGCCTAAATGCTGAAACCCAGGCACGCCTGCCCGGAGACGGGCCTCGAGGGGACTTTGCGGCCTATGTGGAGTGGGTGCTGGTGTCATGTGGATCTCCCTTTACCCTGTATGACGTCACCAGCCCCACTCCCTCGCTCGAATGCTCTCCAGAGACTGAATGCTCTTCACCGCTGGTTCCGTCCAGCTCTCCAGAGATTGAATGCTCTTCACCGCTGGTTCCGTCCAGCTCTCCAGAGATTGAATGCTCTTCACCGCTGGTTCCGTCCAGCCCTCCAGAGACTGAATGCTCTTCACTGCTGGTTCCGTCCAGTCCTCCAGAGTCTGTATGCTCTTCACTGCTGGTTCCGTCCAGCCCTCCAGAGACTGAATGCTCTTCACTGCTGGTTCCGTCCAGCCCTCCAGAGACTGAATGCTCTTCACTGCTGGTTCCGTCCAGCCCTCTAGAGACTGTATGCTCTTCACCGCTGGTTCCGTCCAGCTCTCCAGAGATTGAATGCTCTTCACCGCTGGTTCCGTCCAGCTCTCCAGAGACTGTATGCTCTTCACAGCTGGTTCCGTCCAGCCCTCCAGAGACTGTATGCTCTTCACTGCTGGTTCCGTCCAGCTCTCCAGAGACCGTCCAGCCAGCGCCAGAGACCGTCCAGCCAGCGCCAGAGACTGTCCAGACAGCGCCAGAGACCGTCCAGCCAGCGCCAGAGACCGTCCAGCCAGCGCCAGAGACCGTCCAGCCAGCGCCAGGGACCGTCCAGCCAGCGCCAGTGACCGTCCAGCCAGCGCCAGAGTCCGTCCAGCCAGCGCCAGAGTCCGTCCAGCCAGCGCCAGAGACCGTCCAGCCGGCGCCAGAGACCGTCCAGCCGGCGCCAGAGACCGTCCAGCCGGCGCCAGAGACCGTCCAGCCAGCGCCAGAGACCGTCCAGCCGGCGCCAGAGACCGTCCAGCCAGCGCCAGAGACCGTCCAGCCAGCGCCAGGGACCGTCCAGCCAGCGCCAGAGACCGGGATCCCACCCAGCCTCCCTCTCCCGCCTCCTCTCATCTGTCCTCCCTCTGCTCTCCTGCCCTTCAGCTTCCCGAAACCAGCCTGGTCTGTGTATCCCCGGTCTTCGCCTCACACCTCCTCCTCTGAGACACTTCCTCGGCCCCCGGTCCCATCAGCTTCCCCGTGGCTGCTACCTCCCTCAGCTCCTCCATGGTCCCACAGTCCACCAGCTCGGCCAGGCTCCCTCGTCCCTCCGAACTCCCTGCACTCCCTCGTCATCCTCCCCTCACCTATGGACTTCCTTACTTTGGCTCCGCCCCGTTTCGTCACCCCTTCGGTGCAGTTGGACTCCTCACTCCCTCCAGTCACCCGTCAGCCCTCACGCACTCTGACCTCACTGTGTCCCTCTGTGCCCCTGTCAGCACTTCTGTCACCAGAGCCTGCGGTGTCCCCTTGCTCCCTCGGTCCCTCCTCAGCACCCATCGTCGTCTGTCCCTCAGCTACACCCTGGTCTCCTCTCCCATCCGCTCCGCCCCTGTCAGTCGGCCCCCTGGTGTGGTCAGCCCCACTACCATCGGCTCCACCAGGGGTCCTCCCTCCAGCTGCTCCGCCCTGGTCTCGCCCTCATCATGCTCCGCCCTGGCCACGCCCTCAGCCTGCTTTGCCCTGGGGACGCCCTCAGCCTGCTCCGCCCTGGGGACGCCCTCAGCCTGCTCCGCCCTAGCCACGCCCTCAGCCTGCTCCGCCCTGGTCTCGCCCTCAGCCTGCTCCACCCTGGCCACGCCCTCAGCCTGCTCCGCCCTGGCCACGCCCCGCCCAGCCCCCAGTTCGTCCCCCCTCCTTCCTCTGTTATGCGGCGTGAGGTCACGCCTCCCGGGAGGGGGGAGTTCTGTCACAGTCTTCGTCTGCACCATCCTGTCTGCGTCTCCAGCACTACACTTCCCAGGATCCTCTTGTCTCCACACCTGAACTCACTCCCTCATCAGCCTCCCGTTCAGCGTCCTGTATTCATCTGTTTCACCTGTTTTCACCTCGTTTAGTTTGATTCCTGTGTGTATTTAGTTCCTTCCCATTCAGTCTGTCCTTGTCGGTCGATGTTAATGTCACCCTGTGTTTCGCCTGCCTGTTTCCTGTTAATGTGAGAATAAACCTTTTGTATTGGAGCTTTTCTGGACTCTGCCTATTCGTCCTTCTGCCTGAACCCGCACCCGTGACAATTATATTATGTTATATTATATTATGTTATATTATATTATATTATATTATATTATATTATATTATATTATATTATATTATATTATATTAACTGGGCAACATGTGCAAGACCCGTCTCGATTCCAACTAACCCATTTGGGTTTGAAATTAAGCCCATTTGGGTGATTTGAAGTGAGGTCCATTTGGGCCCATTTGAAGTGGGCCCCATTTGGGTTTAAATGGGCTGAAAAATGGGCTCTACATGGGATTGTTCGTGGGATCCATTATGGCCCCATGCCAATTGCACACATGAATTTCATGCAGGATTGTAGTTGCCAACAGGTTGGCCCCAACTGGGCAACATGCCCCAGCTTTAGATTTACTAAAAGGTTACTGCATTGGCTGAAATATGGATTGTAAGTGGGTCTGTCCCCATGTTCCATCAATTATTAATGATCTGATCTGTGCATGGTCATTTGTTTGAACAACTTTGGCTTAAAAAGCTTTGGTTGGGGTTTATCCTGTTGTTTGTCTGACAATAGTTAAAATTCCCATACCATACAAACCAAACCAATCAGGATTATGCAAAGCAATAAGACATGTGATGTGGTCCTATTGCTTTTATTGTCAAATTTAGATTGGTAACTGCAATTTCGCCCTCCAGTTCCTCCACTATGCCTTTTCTCAAGAGAGCCGAGTTGACTTTTTCAGAGTTTATCACTCCTTCATCAATTTTTCAGAAAATAATCTATTTTTGTCAGTCTTTTAGATCAATACTCTTTTGGTCTACAGACATCATCTATCACTTCATAATTAAACGCATGCCTTTGGGCCACCAGAGTTCATTTTATTTTTGGAATTGACAAATGGGATGAAGTCACTGCCATGTGGAAAAGGATAGTACAGAGGTGATTATCCTCAGCCAGTTCAGAGGGTTGCCGTTTTGTTTGTTGAAGGGGATGATTGTGATTGCATAAGGTGTTTAAGGTAGTAGTAAGAGATAGAGCGGTCACTGAGTTAGTGTTTGACAAAAATATTCTATTTCTATTCTATTCTATCCTATTCTATTTCATTATATTATATTATATTATATTATATTATGAATTTAGGTAAATTGGGACACTTTTGCCATTGAGAGAAGTTTCAAAATATTAAAACTCGCTCATCAAGCCTGCAAACATTTATTTGTTCAAAAATACAGAAAAAAACATGTAATATTGTTTTGTAATATTGCAGTTAAAATAATGGTTTTCTATTTTAATATATAGGCCTACTTTAATATATAATTTATTTTTTTGATGCAAAATCTTCATTAACCATTACTCCAGTCTTCAGTGTCACATGATCCTTCAAAAATCTTTGTTGCATTCTGCATTCCACAGGGCAGCATTTTAGGTCCTTTACATTAATAATCATCCTTATGTGTTTCATTTTTCTAGGTAATTTAACACAGACCTGCAGCATTCACATTGGCTGCAAGATAACCATTTAACACTTAACATTAAGAAAACAGAATGTATGTATTTTATTCATCTAGACAGCTCTATATCCATCCATCACCTTTTCTAATCAAAAGCTTTCATCCGGGAGTATCTGGGAGTCTCTCTTGATTCACATCACTTATCATGACCATGTCCAAACTTAACCAGAAAGTTAAACCAAAAGTTATTTGTTTATAGTGAAATTAGATCATATTTATTGCTTTTTGTTTCTAAAACATATCTTCATGCCATCATGTCCACTTTGTCGTATTGTTTGGTCACTCACAACAAATGAGAACCTAATAGATCCTATAAGATCCACAACAGGCTTCCAGGTTTGACTGCACTGTATTGCACTTTGAGTAATGCCTTGACATTTCAGAACGATAAAATAAGCCATGGAATAAACTTGTATTACCAAATCTTAAATGGATGCACTTCAGCAGCATTGACTTTGTTGGTTCCACAACTCAGCTCAAGACTCGAGCGCACTATGAGATGATCTGTTACAAATGGACTTCTGCCAGTTTTTAGGAACTGTTTTGGACAGAGATATATTTTTTTCATGTGCTCACTAAAGCCTGGAATGAGACCCCACAGCACATGAGAACTATAACATCAATAAGACTATTTAAAATAACATTTACTCGTCATCTAATGGTGACTGAGATGTCTTCATGGCCTCCCTCTGATGCTTATTCTCTTGGTTTGTGTGTTTGTTGCTGTCTTGTCTTGGAGTTTTGTTGTATATATTTGTGTTCTGCAGATATAGGCTATATTATATTTCTGATACAAAATCATCGGCTTTTAGATATGCATGTAATTATTCACATTCACATATTAAATATAATGTGTGTGCCAAAAACTATTTTATTGTATTATATTATATTATATTATATTATATTATATTATATTATATTATATTATATTATATTATATTATATTATATTATATTATATTATATTATATCATTCCAGTGTAATCTGCCAGTTCATATACACTAGACAATTAAACATACTTGTCTTTGTCTGACATGCAGTGTTTAGCTATGCGCGCTCTCGTGTGATGTCAGCAGCGCGCGGGCCAGGGTAGTTGTGCTCGCTCGCGCCGGACTCAGTGTCAGAGAAGGAGAATCACGACGAAGATGGTCTCAATATGCGGAGTTCCCCTCGCGGATAGCCTCTGTTGGTACTGATTCGGAGTGTTCTCCCGGATAGCTCTGCTTCGAGGAGTTGCTTCGTATTCGGAGTGAGTAAACGCGCTGTTGCAGGACTGTCATAAGACAGACAGAGGGTTAGAGATGTGCCAGAATTGTATGTGGAGAGCATCACTGCGCGCTTTGAAGTTCTTTATGTGCGCTCGTCTATCCAGATGCTCACTGATGCATGACAACTATCCATTTATTTACAAGCCAAAACGACAGGACAGGCTACGTAAATGAATGAACCACGTGTTATGAATGTGTATTGATAGTAGTTAAATAATCCCACCTGTCCTTAGGGAAAATCTATTGTTCTTATTCGAGTGTAATCTGCCAGTTCATAGTCACTGTAACCATGCAATAGGCTAAACCCTGTACGCGTCTGACACATGAAGAAATTGACAATTTTTTTTATTTCTATGATCTATTTATTTAATTAATGCGCTTAGGAAAGGTTTTTAAATTGTAATGCTAGAACAGAACTAGGCTTTATTATCTTTTTTATTTACGATGTTTATGAGTCTGAATTCACGCTGACCTTGGATTAGATGTAGTCTTGTACACCAGAAGTGAAATGCATTCTATAGCTGGTTTCTAACTGATCTGAGATATAGTTGCTGATCACATTGGATCATGCAGCTGTCAGGTCATGCAGGTTAAGTCAGTCAAATAGTTTTTTAGAATATAATTGCTGGTCAACCAGCTATGACCAACTAGAAACATGTTTCAAAGCAGCTTAAACTGGATTTTTTTTCCCTAGCAGGATTATATTAATTTGATTGTTAATGATTAATCTATAATGCTTCCTGGTTGTAAATTAATGCCAATATAAAGTTAGTGTCTGGGCTAAGCAGCACCTTCCTTCTAAAAGTTATTTCAAAACACAAATAGACCACAATTAGTTATTTGTTTAACATTTCTTTTTCATTTCTGATTTCCTCTCTAAAAGCCCTGCATGGAGAGAATGCGCAGTTCTGATGTTGTGACATTTGCGATCATTAGTTGCTAAGTTAAAGGTGGTTAAAGTTGCCTAGGAGACACAGCAGTTTCATTATCTTCTCATCTAGAAGCATTTACTCAAACGGGCACCGTGTCCTTTCCACTATAACGAGTTTTGCATTTACATTCTGGTATAAGAGCCCTTTATTCGTTGCTATGGATGCTGTCTCTTTTTTTTGTATGCTATGGTGTTTTGGAAAACAAAAGATTGTCATATTGCTGCTCTGTGACAATATGAGCCTCCAGCAGCCAGGTTAAATCACACATGAAATTTCATTTATAAGTCCTATCTTTCCACAAAACAGCTCACAAGATTAACTGATAGAGTGCAGGATCTGGTGCAAAGGCTGTCATTTTATTGCAGCACACTTAATAATATAATAGCCTTAAGGATACAGGTGATCTTCTGTTTTCTGGATGCAAATAGGGGATGATTTCTAATTGCTTGGGCCGTTTTGTCCAAATTATACTGAAAACAGATCACGTTTCTATGAAAATCATACGTCAAATCTCATGATAAATTGCTTTGATCTAGAAGCTGCCCTCCTACATCAATCAATCTCGACGTCAGGATGTGTCTTGGTCACTCTATGTCTGTGTGTGTCGTGCCATGGTACAGTAGAGTATCTCCTGCTGGGTGCTGCATGGAGAATCTATTTTTAATTGGCTTTGTTGATGATAACAGAAACTTTGCAGTGGTGTGTGCCTGCTCATGAAGATAATTATGCTCACGGGAGTAGACAGTATCGTTTGGCACAGTTTATTTTCTTCATTACCGCTGGTGCTGCACGTTCACACTTGCTCGTCTGCTTTCACACATGTCAGAAGACCGGCAATTAGAGGAGAAAAGCAGATTCAATGCCCAGACTTCTTGGTTTATTTCTTTAGGCTATTTTAACACGTAAAGTTATAGTTTTGACAAAATGCTGCAGTTAGAAAATCCCAAAAAGGGTTGTGACAGTAATATGTTGTTCATATGGATCATATCTAAAGCATTTTTGAATGGGAAATATCCTGAATATCATACACTCTAAAAACAACGCTGGGATGTTTGTTTGAACCCAAATTTGGGTGGTAAAATATGGACAAACCCATGAATGTTGGGTTAAAAATGTAATTTCAAATTAGCCCAACTTCAACTTTCACTTTCAACTGTAAATTTTTAAATTGCAATTTTTAACCCATATTTGACCCAAATTTGGGTTGAAACAACCCAGCATTTTTTAGAGTGTAGTACTATAAGAGAGTGATGAAACTGAGCCGTGATGTAATGCAGTAAAATGCAGTTCCAATGTTGTTGTTTTTTCTTTATATATTAAAATAATCGTATAGATGTGTGTGCATATTAAACCTGAACAATTAAAAGCATTTTTAAGCCAATCATAGGTTGATTTCCTTCCAGCCAGGCCAACAAAAGCTCAACCAATGGAAGGTGAATCTGTTTGTTTATTGACCCATGGCAGGCCCCCAGGAAAAATGACACACTTCACCTTTACATTTTTCTTCTCTTTTACATTTATCTCAGGAGTTAGAGGAGGATTAATCAAATTCAAATAAGTTTAAACATTATTACGACAAAGCATTGAGAGCTTCAGGTGCTTATTTGCCTTTTAGGGCAGTCTTTTAAAGATGTTTAAACTGACAGTATGCAACAGATCAAAATTTGGCCTTGAAAGAAGCGCAGCCTCTGTTTTCTCTTTGAACAGCTGATATTCATTCTGTTTCAGCCTCCTTCAGACTATCATCAAGGCTCTAGTGAAAGGCATGACAGCTTCTGTTCAAGTGTTTCACTGGCGAGATCCCAAGAGAGCTGAACGCTCCATTCATTCCACCAATTGGTCCATGGATTACATAAATATTCTCCTGTAAACAAACAATAGAAAACATTGCGCTATGCAACACTAACAATCACTGGTAGTTATTACTTAACAGTGATTTTTTTTACCCAGTGCAACATACAATACCGCACAGTTACTTGGCATTTACTCTATAATATGAAATATGTAATACTGAAACAACTTATAATATATTTTTTGTTGTCTTTTTGGACCCTATCTTAATTATCCGACCAATGGCAGATGCAATTCTTACAATTCTTACATCCTAAAATAGTGAAATGCACAGAAATTTGTGATCATAACAGGTTTTTTTAGTGTGTGGCCAAAAGAATGAACCAACCAAAAACTGTTAATTAAATTAAATTTAATATAAGGTTTAATTTTATTTATTTTATTTTATTTCAAATAATGCAACCTGTGATCTCTCTATTATGACCATATCATTAAACTGTTATTTCATAAGGTTCATGTTGGTTTCATATAAAAATGATGATAAAAAAGAACATCATAATATATTTGTAACAGTTTGTCACTGTATAATGGTGCACAATGAAGGAGATTCAAAATAGTCAATTGTCTTATACAAAATACAAAAGTCTTTATTATTATCCACAAATTAAAACGTGTTTTGCCCTCGGACAAATTAATAATTTACATACATGATTTTTTTTTTGCATTGCCCCTTTTTGTGATTGCATGGGTGTATTCGACAGGGGACACTGATGGATCAGATTCACACATTACTAACATGTGGGCTTATATTCATCTCACCATATGGGGTACATCATGTGGTGTTCCTAAGGAGTTAAAGACCACACAGTATTCTAATAAGTCCTAATCTTATGGTGTGTTCACACCGAACGCGAATTTAATTATTTGCGCGAGGAGATTACATACAAAGTCAACGCAAAGAGGCAAAGTCAACGCTCCAGGCGTCGCGATTGACGTGAATTGGGTGACGTATTTGGCGAGAATGTCTTCCGCGCAAATTGAAAAATTTGAACTCCAGCAGAAGATTCGCATGACACTTTGTTGCACCAGCCAATCAACGAAGAGCTAAATGATACATCCGGTCTATCACTGTTGTTGAAAATGGAGGAGATGATAATTGTGTTGTCTGTGGGTACCAGGGAGGTAATCCATCAGCCGTAAATTGAAGCCTCGCGGGAGCCGCCATTGTACCAGAACTTCACCTGCTGTTAGCATTCCATTGACTCCCATTCATTTTGACAGCGAGTCCAAAGACTCCATTTATCCATTATTTATTTCTAAAGAAACACGACAATGTTTAAAAGGCTCCATTACCTTGTATCTTACGTTATGGCCCCGTAGAATCAGTTTTTGTAAAAAAAAATAGGCAATTTTTCAACAATTGCGTCATAACGAATCGACTGAATGAAAGAGAAATGGCTGTATAGACAGGAGGAGAAGCTCGCAGGAAATCGGGGGATGTGGAGTCATAAAGTCAAGGAAGAAGCCCATAGAGAGTCATAAAGTTGATCCTGCTGCTAGTGATATTTGGAAGGGAATTATTCAGATTTCATTCGGCACAGCTACTAGAAGACATAAAGGTTGATCACGTGAAGCGCAGTACGTCTGGTGATCAGCTTTTAACGGGCTTCAATTCTTCCGTTAAAATCAATGGGGTCGCTGTGTCCATTTCTTTTACTGTCTATGGTGGGTACCCTGAAATATACGATACCAGGTGGTATGGTTACAGAGACTGGGCAAAAAAATTAAAGAAGTTGGACTACCTGAGTGATGAAAATATACACAGATAGTGCTGCAAACCCAGACACGTCGACGTTTGGCTTTTCTCCATATTTGGGACTTCCACAACAAGTACAGAGCAGCAATATCTTTTATTTCAGACATGATGGAAACGTATGCCAGAAAGAAAATTGTGTTTTTGTTGTTGTTGTTGTTTTATTCCCCAAGAGTGACGTGACGCGGACGTGCCAATGGGTTCAAAATGACGTGTATTTGACGCTCTATCCGCGTTCGGTGTGAACACACCATTAGGCTCTACATAGCAGGGCTTGTTGTATAAAAATCTGCCTCCGGAGGGTTATAAAGTGCCGGGGATCACACTCTTATCTGTTATTTGTTATCTTAAATTGCCGGATTTGAGCGCATCATTACATCGGACCTAAAAATACACCACAACAATCTAGGGACCAAGATATCCTGGCTTCCCCTGCTAACTGTCA